GTCCTCCCCTCCCCCCTCCCATTGCAAAAGGTAAACTGCCCTCTTCTTGCAAGAAGAGAGTTTGAGTGGCACATAGAGATATAACTCTGCAGGATAATGTAGAGCAGTCCCATGCTGGAGAATATGGAGATTCCATGCTCCCAATTTCAACCGAACAAGGACACATCCTGGGGTGGGAGGGAACCTTGGCTTCTTAAGAGGCCAGGCGCTTTTGCTTTCAGTTTTATTTTTGCTAACGACATCCAAAAGAAAGGCATTCAAAATACAAACTTCATGACCCCAAAGGCACACAGGTAATAAGCAACCCAAGTCTGAGGGGATAAATTAGTGATTTCCAATCCCAATAAATTGTAAGGCTATAGTCTGGTCATGCTGACTGGTGAAATTTTTGACTGACTGGTGAGACTTTCTAAAAATTTTGAAGCCCTGGCAATATACTTCTCTGTAAACTAACTTACGGTACAGCCCACTTTGTTATGTCATGCGCTGCCAAATAACATCTGATTTACGGCAACCTAGTAGGGTTTTCAAGGTATTTGAGATTTTACGAGTGGTTTTACCTGTGCCAATCCTCTGTGAGTTTTCATGGCTGAGCAGGGATTTGAACCTAGTTCAAAGGTCTCAGGTTTTAGTTTGTTACTCTATTCACTACATCACACAGGCTCCCACATATCCATAGGCCTTGATGTTTTTTGCTTCTGGTGCATTTTTGCTGAAGCAAAAAACTAAATGGGTTGTTTTGTGCCTATACTACGTTTCTGACCTTTTTGCTAGGATAGCTCTTCATGTATCCCACAAAAGCAGCTTCTTGGGATTTTGTTTCCTTGGAATAAAATGTGCTGCAATTGAGCTGAAGTTGGAAGATAATGGATTGTGTGTATCTTCTGTATGTTTGTGTACATGTGAAAGTGATTTCCATGCATACCCTTAGATCTTTGCTTTCCAGATCTATTCATCCTACCTCACATTAAGCCATGTTAAACTGATTTTGCTCTGAGATTACATCCATATCCTATATGGTTTTTTTAAATGGGGGTGGATAGATTTTTAATTACAGCTGTGTCAATAGAGCCAATGCTGAAGAACAGTGGGGAGTTGCCCCATCTGAAGGGCCATTCTTTGCCCATCCCTGGATGAAATGAAGATGCCGGGGAAACGGATTGAGAAATAACTGAAGTTTTTCATGGAAGGTTGCATTAAAGTGGAGCCATTTGGGGCAAAAGCTGGTCTAAATCCCAGGGCATGGTCTGATAGGCCAGCGATGCGGCTGCCTTGCTGTATTAAACAGATGTGTTCTCATCAGCCTTGGGGCAAGAACATCTAGGAACATTATGTATGGTCTTCTGAGACTTGTGATGGAATAAAGGGATATTTATAAAACTAATAAAACTGCTAGTTATGAATATAATATTTGTGTAATTGGTTTCCCTTACCCCAAGGCTAATTAGTAGATTTTCAAAACAGTATACTTTTATATATGTTCATAAAAAGATACAGGTATATAATAAACTTTATGTGCATCACATACAAGAAAGGGTACACAAATGTGTATGAAAGTTTTATAACTTCAGAATTGCAGAATTATTAATTTTTCTGTTGGTTGTTTCTCCTCTGATATGACCTGTTAAACCTGTCCTATCATAAGATTTCTATTTGAAAAACATTGTCTCAGCTAACACCACAGGTTATTGATACGTGAGGAAAAACGGAGAGTGCTCTTGTTACAGCTACTCACAGAACAGTTACCATATTTTTTGCTCCATAAGACGCACTCCCCCCCCAAAATGTGGGGGGGACGTCTG